ATCAATGTGGTGTGTGTAGTAATGTGTGCAGCAACCATGCAGCAACTCCTAACACAAGGAAAGTTGTTACATCAATGACAGCACAAGCATAGACAGGATCAATGGAAGTAATTCAAATCACAGCAAAAAGCATGGAAAGGTATTTGGAGTAACGCATGCCTGTGTCTGCATTAACAATGTGAGGTGGAAATATTATTTTTCTTCTTCAGACTCATCTCTGTTTTGTACAGAATATGTATCTGGTTGTGTATTAGGTTCTTAGTGCCACCATAACAAATTACCATGAATCCAATGACTTACAACAACAGCAACTTCTCTCTCACAATTCTGGAGGACGAAAGTTCTGGACTGAGACACCAGCACCTCCATGCACCCTGCAGACCTTAGAGGAGATTCTGGTCCTGACCTCGGGTGGGCAGCTGCCAGCCTCCCGTGGCTTGTGCCCACACAGCTTCCCTCACCCTCCACATGACAAGCTTCTCCTCGCCTTCCCTCCTTGTGTCTGTGTAGGCTCCCTTTGTCTCTCTTACAAGGACATGTGTAATTATTTCCAGGGGTTGCCCTGATAACCCAAGACACACTTACTCTGGTCTGTCAAGATTCTGCCTTTAATACACCATTCACTTATGACTTTATAATGTGGTATTTATAAGCTCTGGAGAATTAAAATTTGGACCTATTTTGAAGGCCCTCTGTCTTTCAGCCCTCAATGATCTATCATCAGCAAAAATAAATCTTATGTTTTCCTCTTCGGTACTCACAATTTTGTACATTGTTTTATCTCCAATCTCCATCCCTGGCTCATAAAAGACCCCATGTAAGTATTTACTAAAGGGATGAATGAATTGCCCAGAGAAAGAACCATGTTCATGGTGGGAAATTATGGTTCCTTCTTCCCTTTGTATTTTTTCCAGGTTATTTTTGGTTACTATTGATTTCAGATGTCATGAAAATGTATTTCTTTCTTTTTTGAAAACCTATGCTCAAATGCTTATCCCTCTAAAAAGCTAGCAAGCTAAAACCTCCCTATGGGTTCCTACTATAGTGCAGAATCAATTCAAGGTTCCCTAGCTTGGTCTCTATCTTAAGGGGCTGGGAGAAGAGCTTCTATTCTTCACGCCTTCCTGGGCCAGAGCTTTCCTGCAGCTAACCTCTACCAAAGCAGCACAAAACTGGAGGTTTTAAGGAAGGATCTGCCTCCTCATTTGGCTCTCTGTCACCTAGCAGCTCTTCCTTCTGGGCACCCAAGTGAGATACATTGCCTAGTCTCCTGCCTGAAACTCCTTCCACTCTGAATACCATTAATCCAATGTAAAACAGTGACATTGAATCTCTAGAGTCTAGCTTAGGAAAGGCAAATAGATGTGCCTAAGCTCTGTCTGCCAGAGAGATGGGGGAGAGAGACCTAGACATGAGAGAGACAGAGACACAGAGACAAAGTCACAGAAAGACGGAGGAGGGGACTGGTACTGATTGCAGCATTCTGTGCACACAGCATCAGAATCTTCTCCTCCACACAGCTCCTCAGGAAGTCAGGCCTGCAGTCTGATCTGGCAGATGGGAAGCCCTTTGTTAGTCCTTATCTAACCCGTAGTGAAGAATATATACTCATCACCAATGAACACAAATGGATTGAACTCCCGATGTGCACGGTGGTTTGTAGTCCAGGTGTGGGTTCAAGAAAGGTATGAAAAGGAGACACATGGCCACGCCAGGCAACCTGAGAAAGGGCTACAATGTGACACAGTCAGTGAGATGAGGAGTTATCCAGTGGAGACCCAGGATGGCCTCTGGAAAACTGCTGGAGGAAGTTAGACTAAAGGGGATCCCCAGAGAGAAAAATCAGAATTCAGGGAGCTCAGAGACACACATGTGTGCGTGCGACATCTTCTGAGAACAGAGAATGTCTCAGTTACTTTCTCATCACCAAGACACACTGCCTAACACCCACAAATTAAAGAAGGAAAGGGTTGTTTTGGCTTGCAGTGTGTAGAGGTTTCAGTCCATAGTCATCTGGCTCCAAGGCAGGATGGCATGGATAACAAGGTGGCTGGATGCAGAGAGAGAGAGAGAGAGAGAGAGAGAGAGAGAGAGAGAGAGAGAGAGAGAGAGAGAGAGAAGAGAGAGAGAGAGACAGAGAGAGACAGAGAGAGACAGAGACAGAGAGAGAGAGAGAGAGAGAGAATAGAGTGGGAGATGGACCCTTCCGGGCCATACCTCCAAGGACACCCCAGTTCTCCTCTGAACAAGCTTCACCTCCCCACGTCACATTACCTATAAATTCATCTGTGGATTAGCACACCCCCATAATCCATTACCTCCAAAATGACCCACCTATAAGTGCAAAAGGACTTGGGGACCATCAAGCTATAAACTATAACAGAGATCAAATCAATTCACCTAATCGCTCAGGTCCCTGCTCAAATGTCTCCTCTTCAGCGAGATCTTCGCTGACCAGTCCAGCTAAAACAGACTGATTTTCATTCTGGTCATTCAGAATGTGAACTCTACAAGGAGGAACTTGTCAACATTGTCCCTCGGTAGTGTTCCCAGTTTCTGGGATGCAACCTACTAAGAAAATGTTTATGAATGAATGGAAGCACCCAGGATTATTTAGCAAGGTAATTTGTAAGACCTCAGTATGAAGAACTCTGTGGGCTCAACTGTTGGCTTTGAATGTCAAACTAAGGACTTGGCCTGTTGAGAAGTACTCCCAAAGTGCTTCCCGTCCTACTTCATGGGACATCTGAGGTCACCAACAGGAATGCTATGTTCAGTTGCATTCTTTGGAATGGTAGGTTATGTAAAATATGGGAACTTGTTTTCTTAGGTGTTCATTCTTCCACTTTTATCATATGATTGTAGATCTCCAAGTGTTGCCAAGTATTGATCATAGCATTCTTTTCTTTTTCTTTTCTGTTTTTAAATGCATCTCAGGTTTAGTGCCTCGCTGAAGACACTTTAGGTATAGAGCCAAAGAAAATGGAAATTTCTTTAAGATGTCAGAGGGACAGGGAAGTAAAACACTTGCTTAGCATTAGTGAGCCTCTGAGTTCAATACTCACAGTACTGAAGAAAGAAAAACCATTTAAATGTTAGAGTGGAATGTTTGTGGCTATATGAAAGATGGAGGGATGGAGGGATGAATGGATGGATAGTGGGTAGAAGGAAGAGATTTGAAATACGGAGTCCAGTTTGGCCAAAAGAGCTAGAGTCATTCTCTCAATCATTGAATCATAAATACAATGTGTCAGACATTCTTGTAGAAAAAGAGGATGGAGCAATAAACAAAACCAAGTCCACCCCATATCAACAGGACAGTGATATATTCCACTTTGCCCAGGGCAATACCATTTTCCCAAAATCACTATGAAAAATTTCCATTTTTATTTTCAAAATCATCTTGGTTTGAATGATAGTCACTCAATACTTGTGCCACATTCATTTTCAAAATTATCTTGATTTAGATAACAAATAGTCACCCAATTCATGGAGATTACTTTCTGTGGAAGAGATGAGAGGCTGACAACATGGTACCTTTACATAAAGTAAACAAAGGGTCCTCTTCCGGGTAAAAATAGCCAACAGGTACACAGATTAACAAGGAGATGTCTCTTGCACCCTGAATAAAGGCATTTTTGCAAGACAATGCCAGCCCTTCTAGGTCACTCAGCTTGAAAGGCAGAGCTCAGGTTAGGTCTCTGCCTCCACTTCCTTTCTGTGGGCAGGGGTTTGCAGCAAACCACACAACCCTAAGTTTGCCCCAGCCACTTTGTGCGGTGGACAGCCTATAAATCAATTACCTGGTTTCTACTGATTAGAAAGCAAATAAATACAATGTCAAGCAGTGGAAAGTGCTATAAAGACCACTGCAATGAAATAAGGGGATGGAGAGTAACAGAGACCACCACAGTGTACCCCAAAATGCACCGTTTGCCTGGTGATCTACAGAAATGACGTCCACCTTGAGCAATGTGGCTGCTCTGACCAGAAGAGCTGTTTTAGAGGGATGATAAGGAATGAACCCTCCATGGATAATTTGATACTGACTAAGAAAAGAGAGATAAATATGAGAGAAACATCACAGTGAGGCTGGGGGGTCGCCACGATTCGATAGCTGGCTCATTGCAAGGGCTTTGGCTAAAGAGCACGGAAGATGACCTCAAGGTTCACACTGCAAAACCAGGGAGACGAGGGCTTCACTCAGTTCTGCCCAACACTGAGCCTGCAGTGAATGGGTGGTGCAGGGAGCTCACTGACAAAAACAGGCCCAGAGTTGTGTCTTAGGGGAGCCACCGAATCAGGATTTCTGAACCTGGGTCTGTCTCACTGAGTGATATGCAAATAGATGTTACTAGAAAAAGCTGCCCAAAGAAGGGTGAGAAGTGCCAGGATAAGCAAGGCCAACCAGGGTTCTGCGCTGGAAGACATCTTGAAGCTCTTCGCAAGCAAAGATGCTCTGTGAATCCCAAGCAGGGAGCACGGATGTAGCTTCTCCTAACCCAGTGCCTCAGGAAAGTTTGTTCCCGTTTGCTTTGCTTTGTTGTTGTTGCTGTTGTTTGGGGCTTGCAGAGGGTTGTTTTGTTTAGTCTTAGTTTTTGTTTTTGTATGATATCTCAGCTACTGCTCCCTCCAGAGGAACTGGGCTCCGCACACGTATCAAATGGGCCAGAATGGAGAACAGAAGCAGATAAGGGTGGCAAGCAGGGGTCCTGACAGAGATAAGGAAGCCTTTAGGAGAGTAGGGGTTCCCCAACAGTCAGACACCCTGGCTGCCACAGAGCAGACCTGCCTGTGGTTGTCCCCAAAGGACTGGCTTCACCCAAGCTCCAGTGGTAACCTCTGAGTCAGTCTCCCTCGGGGCCAAGTTTAGCCGCTGACTGTCTGGCTAAAGTGGTTGTCTGACCTCCCCAGGCCTCCACTTACCCTTCTATAAAATGGGGATAAAAATATTTCCCTCCCCTCTCCTGGGTGGCACGAGGCTTTGATAATTACTATTTGGCAGGGTGCTGACAAGCTCTGTCTGACACATTTCTCCTTGGCTCTGCAAACGCTGAGTCTCACCTCCAGGGAGAACACAGGCCAGTCTGCTGCACGCTCAGGTTCTCGGTCTCCGGCTCTCTGTGTCTTCTCTCTCCCATGAAGCTCCTGTCAAAGCAAGATTCTCACCTACCCCTCTGCTGACATCGAAGCACTGTGGAGGGGGAAGAGCCAGCTGCCGACTGCCGCTCCAGGACCCTGCTGCACCTGGAAGGCTGCTCAGGTCTGGGACACCTGGAGGAGGTATCGCCGCCAGCCTGGAGGCAGCCATGCGGTGTCCATCCGGCTGAGGAGGAGGGGCCCATCCAGCCAGGGCCATCACAGGGCAGGCTGATGACCACATTGGAGGACCCCGGTCCAGCCCAGCCTGGAGGCACGAATGAGCTGAGGTGGGTGCTGCGCGTGTCTGAGCACTGGGACAAGGGTGGGCGTCTGGGGCAGAGAGGACACTGGTGCCCTGCAGGAGAGCTGTGCTTGTCTCAGTCTTTTCACTGGTGTCAGGGACCGATGCGGCTCCATTTATCACTTAGTTTGCTGCCTAGAGCCCAGGGCCTCTCCGAAAGGACAGGACCACCCTCGGGGAATGTAATGGTCCTTTGTGGCCTCTTTTCCTCCTCCAGCCTGACACTGAGATTCTCAAACAGATAGGGAATATTGGGGCGTGAACACAGTTGTACCTGGTACACTAGAACTTGGACTGGGATCCTCTTGGGACAGTTCAGGTAATGCCTGGTCCTGGGAGGAAGGAAGGAAAAGGAGCAGCTGTTGGGTGACTGTGTGACTGTGTGCACATCTGTAAAATGGGATCATAATGTTGAACTCTCTCGTGGGCTGGTGTCAGAAGTCATTCCTGTGTTTGTGTGGCATTTTATTGGGATTTCCCTTGCTGATTGGTGCAGTCAGGCCATCTGCTTGGCCCCAAAGCACCCGCTTTAGATGGAGGGCTTTGTTTTCATTCATCGGCTGGATTCAACTATCGTGAAATGCATAAGACAGGACTGGGATCAATAAAGTTGTTGCTCTTTAGCCACAGGCCTTTGGTACTTCCTGCCAATTTAAAATCAAGATCTCTTACTTCCTGCAAACTGGGGAGCACCAGGGAGGGACTAGATTTGAAATCCATGTCAAAGGTCTCTCAAACTCAGTTTTCAGCTCCTGCCTTGTTTAAAAGCAATCACTGTCTGGAGCCCTAGCGTGTTACCAGGTAACCTGTGAATGTCAGGGAAGCCATGCAAAGAATCTCCGGCATGTCGTTAACCTGGTTCCAACATGTAATTAGCCCAAAAGGCCTCCTTGCTACCTCCATTCCGCGTTACATCATAAAGAATCAGACATTTTACAGTTCGCAGGATACCATGAAGACTTGAAAGAGTTAATTATGGCTCGCTGGAGTCTGTCCCCAAGAGCCCAAGACCCAGGAATTAAAGTGTTTATTTTTCAAGTGTCAGTCTTCAAGACAGCATCCAAGATAGCTTCCCCTGTGAAATCTAAGATTGGCCCGGGTTTGGAAGTAAGCCCACCGAGGTCTGCATGACAGGACTGGAGGTAGGGATTTGATTGGGGTCTGCCACATAATTTTCAGAGACCTCATCATCTGTGCAGCCCTGGAGAAAAGCAGAACTAGGCAAGCTGGAATTCTTCTGACCCTCTCGGTTCCATGGGGCGAATCCACCTCGAGCTGCTTAACAGTCTCTGAGCTGGAGAGACCAGCAGTGTGGCCAGAGTTCAAAGCGAGTTCAACCCTAATCTGGATGTGACAATCTGAACCAATCTAAGCATGCAGGCTCTGAGGACATTATTATCAGTCAAGTATAATTATAGATAAAATAGTTTTATTAATCAGCTTCCTAAGGGAACTGTGTTTATCTGATGGCTGTGTGTATCATGTGTACACGGGGGAGTGGGGAGAAATCCGTGCTGTGTGTGGTTGGTCGACGTGGCAGGGGGACAGGATGTCTATGGAGAGAGTGTGACAGGTCCGGGGGGAGTGTGGCTGTGAGTCCCTGTACTAGGCAGGCTCTGTGAGGGAGTGTCCATGGTAGCATCTACGTGTACGTGTTTGCCCAAATTTATGCAGCTGGACTAGAGATCATGCCTGTTTCGCTGCTTCCTGGTTTGGCCATCACCCTTCCCTCACTGCCACCCCCCGTAAAGGACTTTTCCACGTCCTCCGTGCTCAGCCAGCGTCTAGAGTCACAGATTTTACCTGCAGATGCCTGCTTTAGCCACTAAGCGTCAGCCACATTTTCAGATTGTTGCTCCAGCACTGTCTTGGCTTGTCTTCTGTCTCTATCACCTTCTACCAGTTTGCTAGCTCCAAAAGACCCTGAAAAGGCAGGGTTACCCCGAATCTCATCCAGCCTGACCAGCTCCACTTGCTTCTGGGTACGAGAAGGGAACTTGGCAGGGCCCAGTTCTAAAAGCTGTCTCCGTAGGTCTGCAGGTCTGACACACAGCTGGGTGAGAATCAGCCATGGGCTAAGGTTCAGGAAACACTCCTCACTTTCTAAAGGGAGGCTGAGGAGTGAGCCACTGCCCAGAGGCTGTGGAACAGGCACAGAGCCAGCCTGGTCACCCCTGCCCTTCCTTCCCAGTCTACAATGTGCCTTAGGTGTCTCCATCCCTGTCAACGCATGGCCCTTGTGCAACTCCCCTCTCACATGGACGGGAACACTTGACCTGAATTGGCCCCACCCCTACCTCATCAGAAGGCCTTGTGCAAAATCAGCCTTGTCCCTTGAACTTTGCTGAAAGGGACGAACTTAAAATCTGAAAATTCAAGTAGGTGTTTCCTTCCCTTAGAGGGAGGGGATACCCAATCTGCACAGACTCTGCAGAAGGTGAACCCACCAAAGTCCCATCCAGAGGGCTCCCGCAGAGAGATGCAAAATGCAGTAGGGCTATTGACAATCCTCCAGCAACCTCTGGGGGCTATTCCTGGATCTTTTTTGCTCCCACTGGAGCTTGTAAGGAAAGTTTGGGTGAGAGACTAAGTATTTTTATTAAAATGATCTGTTTAAGCTAATTAAGGACAATTGGCCAAATGCAGCGATTTTCTCTGAACACTCAGATTTATGAGTTTTTGATGAGTTCCACATAAGAAACTGACAACCCATAAGAAACTGACAGCAAACAAATGGAAAGATGCGCATCTATTAATTGCCTTGTTTATACACTTATATTATCAATTGATCTAAGGAAGAGCTGATGTTATTCTCATGTTGCTGATTAAGGAACTATGACCTAGGTACATTTAGTAATAATTTTAATATTACAATAATTCATTAAATACTTAATATGTGTTAGACACTATTATCTCATTTAATTGCCATGAAAGCTCTGTGAGATGGTCATTTATTTTCAGATGAGGAAACCAATACACAAGGAGATAAAGAACTGTTTACCAAGTGGCAGAGGGATCCGAACCCACATCTCTCAGACCCAAAAACCCAGTGTTCTGTTTAGTACTGACTTTCCCTGAACTGCCTTTTCATCTAGTTTTTGCTCTTAGTAATGCTATGGTTGAAAGTTTAATTACTGCATGCCCTGACAGTGTTCACTTCAGTCCTACATCTTACTGGTTCCTTGGAACCAAACGGTGAGCCATTGACTTGAAATGACACACTGGATCCTGCCCATCTGCCTTCACATACTGAAAAGAAATTAAAACAGGGGGATACAGCTCAGTGGTAGAGTGCTGGATTCCATCCTCAGCACTGCCAAAAACATTTGTAGTTTCATAAAAAGACATGCAAGTGAGGGTGAAGTCTGGCTTTTGGAGATTCCTGTCTTCATTTAAATTCCAACTTCCCAGTGAGAACATCCAAAAATATGGATCTTCATGGCCACCTTGGCCACCATCCAGTTCCTAAGAAGACCCGCCCTAGGGCTGATTCTTTAACTGGTACAAGTGAGACCTGCAGACCTCGGGAAACAGCTTTTGGGGCTGGGCCCCATCAAGTGCAAGATCACAACACAAATGAGTGTGTGTTGGTGGAATCAGGCAGCTTCCCAAATGTAAGGACTCTTCCCTGGGCCTTGTAAGCTCCAGGAATCACTGGACTGGATTTGTCTTGGGATATAACAACAAACTCTTTAGTAACATGATAAATCAGAAAACTTCATTATTGGTTTATAAAAAGCACAACGCCTATATTCTTCTACCAACCCTGTTTTTGCAGCAAACACTAGTTTTCCAAATTAGCTCCTGAATGGACCAAGCCCAGGAATCTTCAGAGTGTAATGCAGGCCTTTGGACTTTTTAATGGCAGATAGAACCCTGGAAGCCACTAGAAGATTTGTAAAGACATGGTAAAGAAAAACTTTAATTTCAGAGTTGACCTAACAAGAAAACCAAGCAGCAACCTCTATACTAGTATCAGGGTTGGGGAAAAACATAGACCAAAAAGAAGAACAGAGGCAAATCTTGGGACCCAGTCTACCCGAACATGCTTGTTCCGGGAGAATGACAAAATCTGAAGCTCTTTCAACATTGAGGTCTCTCTTCAGATGCCCCTTGTTCAGAAAGACTCCATGAATCAAAACCTGCCCAAGGCTGCCATGTGATGACAGCCAACCCCTTAGCAGAAGAAGTGACTAGATTGGACATACAATTCCCTTGCCACCACATCATGAGGTACCCCTTGAAGGAAAATGTCACCCTCCAGTTACCCCAGATGCCAGACAGCACAGAGGTCAGTGGCCTCGGCTTTGTGTCAAGCAATCCTAAAATGAAAGCCTGGTTCTGCTACTTTGGTGTATGACCTTGAACAAATTACTGAAGTTCCCTGGGCCTCAGTTTCCTCATCTGTAAAATGGGGATAATAACAGACCCTACTCCTACAGTTGCTGAGCATAACACATAATAAGCATCCATTTTTAGCAGGTCATCCCAACCCCTCATCACCTAGTTCAGATACCAAATCCCAGAAATTTCTTATAACTCACCCTGCCTTTACTGACTCCTTCTCTGCAGTTTTACAAACTCCTAACTCAAAATTTGACTTGGAATATATACTGCTCTAAATCTTCCCTCTTGAGTTCCCTGATTTTTACAAGACCGTAACAAGGTCTTACTGTTTCTTATACTCTTCTTTATATTAAATATAATATTGTCTTGTTATGTTTATTGGGATTTTTGATTACTATATTTAGCAAATTCAGATACTGACATTTCTAAAATCAAGACGACCTCTATAACCTGTCTTTAAATTTATCATAATATTTTCCTTGCCCTGAAATTATTATTTAAATCAATGGACATGGTAAAGATCGCAATAAGCAGATTCTTAGAGATATTTGGTCAACTGAGGAGGCTTGATTTGCATGGGCCCAATTGACAAGTTTCTCCCAGCATGCCGCCTCACTCCCCTCCCTCAGTTTCTGAGCT